GGGTCCAGGATGTCTCTGAATGGGCAGTAAGCATTCTGAAGGGAGAGGGTGAACAGCCAGAGGTTGTGGTATATATTGGCACTAACGACATGGGTAGGATGAGTGACAAGGTCCAGCAGCTGCAGTTCAGGGAGTTAGGGAGAAAGTTAAAAAGCAGGACCTCCAAGGTGGTAATCTCAGGATTACTCCCTGTGCCACGTGCCACAGAGGCTAGAAATAGGAGGATAGTACATCTCAACACGTGGCTAAACAGTTGGTGTAGGAGGGAGGTTTTCAGATATCTGGGCCATTGGGATCTCTTCCAGGGCAGGTGGGAGCTGTACAAGAAGGACGGGTTGCATCTAAACTGGAGGGGCACAAATATTCTGGCTGGGAGGTTTGATGGTATCACTCGGGAGGATTTAAACTAGCTTGGCAGGGGGGTGGGAACCAAAGCAAAGGTGAATGGACTGAAAGAAAACTAGAGAATAGGGCCAGTAAGACTCAGAGGAAGAGCAGGCAGGATGTGGTTGCTTATCAAAGTGGATCTGGTGGACTGAAGTGCATCTGTTTCAATGCAAGAAGTGTAACAGGTAAGGCAGATGGACGTAGAGCTTGGGCTAGTACTTGGGACTATGATGTTGTTGCTATTACAGAGACTCGGTTAAGGGAGGGGTAGGACTGGCAGCTTAATGTTTCAGGATACAGATGTTTCAGGCAGGATAGAGGGGGATATAAAAGGGTTGGGGAAGTTGCATCACTTGTTAAGGAGAATATAACAGCTGTACTGCAGGAGGACACCTTGGATGGCTCATACAGTGAGGAAATGTGGGTAGAGCTCAGGAACAGGAAGGGTGCAATCACAATGTTTGGGCTTTACTATAGGCCTCCCAACAGCCAGTGGGAGATAGAAGAACAGATATGTAGGCAGATTTTGGCTAGATGTAAAAGTAACAGGGCTGTTGTCATGAATGATTTTAACTTCCCAAATATTGACTGGGACTCATTTAGTGCTTGGGGCTCGGATGGGTAGGAGTTTGTAAGGAGCCTCCAGGAGGGCTTCTTGAAACAGTATGTAGATAGTCCACTTAGTAAAGGGGCCGTACTGAACCTAGTATTGGGGAATGAGCTTGGCCAGGTGGTCAACGTCTCAGTAGGGGAGCAGCTCGGGAACAGTGATCACAATTCAGTAAGCTTCAAGGTACTGATGGATAAAGATAGCTGTAGTTATCTGTTGAAGGTGCTAAATTGGGGGAAGGCTAATTACTCAATATTAGGCAGGAACTGAAGAATATAGATTGGAGACAGATGTTTGACAGCAAATCAACACATGGAATGTGGGAGGCTTTGAAGTGTAAGTTGCTCGGAACTCAGGACCAGCACGTTCTTTTAAGGATGAAGGATATGTATGGCAAGTTTAGGGAACCTAGGATAAAGAGAGATATTGTGAGCCTAATCAAAAAGAAAAAGGAAGCATTTATCAAGGCTAGGAGGCTGGGAACACATGAAGCAAGGGTGGAATACAAGGAAAGTCAAAAAAAAATTAAGCAAGGAGTCAGGAGGGCTAAAAGGAGTCATGAAAAGTCATTGGCCAACAGGATGAAGGAAAATCCCAAGGCTTTTTATACATATATAAAGAGTAAGAGATTAGCCAGGCAGCAGGGTTGGCCTACTCAAGGACAGGGAAGGGAATTTATGTGTGGAGCCAGAGGAAATGGGCGAGGTATTAAATGAGTACTTTGCGTCAGTATTCACCATAGAGAAGGACTTGGTGGATGATGAGTCTGGGGAAGGGTCTGTAGATAGTTTGGGTCATGTTAAGATCAAAAGGGAGGAGGTATTGGGGGTCTTGAAAAACATTAAGGTAGACAAGTCCCCAGAGCCTGATGGGATATCCCCCAGAATGCAGAGAGAGGCAAGGGAGGAAATTGCTGGAGCCTTGAGAGAAATCTTTGTATCCTCACTGGCTACAGGGGAGGTTCCAGAGGATTGGAGAATAGCCAATGTTGTTCCCTTGTTTAAGAAGTGGGACAGGGATAATCCAGCTAATTACAAGCCAGTGAGCCTTACATCAGTGGTAGGGAAATTATTGGAGAGGATTCTTCGAGACAGGATTTATTCCCACTTGGAAATAAGTCGGTATATTCGCAAGAGGCAACATGGTTTTGTGAAGGGGAGGTTGTGTCTCACTAACTTTGTTGAGTTTTTTGAGGAAGTGACGAAGATGATGGATGAGAGTAGGGCAGTAGATGTTGTCTACATGGACTTCAGTAAGGCCTTTGACAAGGTCCCTCATGGCAGGCTGATACAGAAGGTAAATCTGCACGGGGTCAGAGGTGAGCTTGCAAGATGGATAAAAAACTGGCTCGGTCATAGAAGACAGAGGGTAGCAGTGGAAGGGAGCATTTCTGAATGGAGGGCTGTGACTATTGGCGTTCCTCAGGGATCAGTGTTGGGACCTTTGCTATTTGAAAATTATACAAATGATTTGGAGGAGAATGTAACTGGTTTGATTAGTAAGTTTGTCGATGACACAAAAGTTGGTGAAATTGCGGATAGTGATGAGAACCTTCAAAGGATACAGCAGGATATAGATCGATTGGTGACTTGGGCAGTGAGATGGCAGATGGAGTTTAATCCGGAAAAATGTGAGGTAATACATTTTGGAAGGTCTAATCCAGATGGAAAATATACAGTCAATGGCAGAACCTTTAAGAGTACTGAAAGGTGGAGGGATCTGGGTGTACAGATACACAGGTCACAGGTGGAGAAGGTCATCATTAAGGCATACCGCATGCTTGCCTTCAAAGGCAGGGGTATTGAGTTTAAAAATTGGCAGGTAATGTTGCAGCTTTATAGAACCTTACTTAAGCCGCATTTGGAATATTGTGTTCAATTCTGGTTGCCACACTACCAGGAGGATGTGGTGGCTTTGGAGAGGGTACAGAAAAGATTTATCAGGATGTTGATTGGTATGGAGGGCATTAGCTATGAGGAGAGGTTGGTGAAACTTGGGTTGTTCTCACTGGAACCACAGAGGTTGAGGGGCAACCTGATAGAGGTCTACAAGATTATGAAGGGCATGGACAGAGTGGACAGTCAGAAGCTTTTCCCCAGGGTGGAAGAGTCAGTTACCAGGGGCCATTGGTTTAAGGTATGAGGGGCAAGGTTTAAAGGTGATGTACGAGGGAAGTTTTTTACACAGAAGGTGGTGAGTGCCTGGAACTCGCTGCCAAGGAAGGTAGCGGAAGCAGATACGATAGTGACTTTTAACAGGCATCTTGACAAATACATGAACAGGATGGGAATAGAGGGATACGGTCCCCGGAAGGGTAGGGGGTTTTAGTTGTGATGGGCAGAATGTCGGTGCAGGTTTGAAGGGCTGAAGGGCTTGTTCCTGTACTGTAATTTTCTTTGTCCT